TGGGGAATTAGTATCTGCAGTGCTGCCATCCAGTTCACGAGCATAGTAATACCCCTCCATTTATGGGGATGTTCTTTTATTTCTGTCAACGTTTCTTGTTGTTATTGTTGTTTTTTGGTGGTACTGAGGTTTGAACTCAGGGCCTCACTCTTGCGAGGCAGGAGCGCTACCACTTGAGCCACTCCACCAGCCCTTTTTTGTGTTGGACATTTTTCAAGATAGGGTCTCTTGAACTATTTGCCAGGACTGACTTCAAATCATGATCCTCCTGATCCCTGCCTCCTGAGTAGCTAGGATTAAGGTGTGAGCCACTGGCACCCGGCATCTGTCAATGTTTATAGTTAGAGTCCCTAAACACCTCACATGATAGGCATTTGATGTGCCTTATGCCATTGTAAATGATATCATCCTTTCAAATAATCTTTATAATCATTTCAGGCACAATTGATTTTTGTAAATTAACCTTGTATCCACTTACTAGTTCTGAGTGTCTGTTTGTAGGCGTCAGATTTTTTTCATATGTACAATTTTACCCTATGCAGAATTTGAAAGTTTACTTCTTAGTTTTCAGTCTTTGCCTTTTTTTGCCTTGTACTTGAAAAAGAATTGGTAACAGCAAGCTCTGTCTTGGTCTTAATCTCAGAGGAGATAAGTAAATATGATGCTGTCTGTAGATTTTGAAGTCTGGATAACTTTAACAGACTAAGAAGTTTCCTGAACATTTTTATCATGATTTGTTGAATTTTTTTCAATGTTTTCCCATATCTGTTGAAATAATCCTATTATCTCCTCCTTCATTCTGTTAACACATTACATGATTGATTTTTCTGTGTTAACCAACTTAATATTCCCAGAATAAACCCAACTTGATTAATGTATCATCTTTTTTTATATATTGCAGGATTTGGTGTGCTAGTATTTAGTAAAGGATTTTGTGTCTATAACCATAAAAGATATTGGATTACAATGATCTTGTCATTTGGTGTCAAGGTTACACTGGCCTCATTAAAAAAATGGAAAGGCTCCCTTCTCTCCTATTCTGTAAAAGAGTTTGTTAAGATTGCTATTATTTCTTTCTTAAATATTTGGAAGAATTTACCAGTGAAACTAACTGTGCCTGAGTTTCTTATGTTGGAAGGTTTTCATTATTTCTATGGTCACTCTTGTTACAAATGCAATTTATTCAACAGATATACTATATTCAGGTTTTCTATTTCTTCTTTTATCAGTATAATAAATGGTCTCTGTTCTTTTTACCAGCCCTCTTTGACTCTCAACCTCTACTTGCAAATTGGCAAATAACTTGTGTGGGAAAGCCCCCCACCTAAAAGTCAGGTTCCAGCCTGAGCAAAAAAGTTCATGAGATTCCATCTCCAAAATAACCAGAGCAAAATGAACTGGAAGTGTGGCTCAAGTGGTAGAGTACCTGCTTTGTAAGCATGAAGCCCTGAGTTCAAACCCCAGTCTCACCAAACAATTTAAAAATAAAAAAATAAAAGTCAGGTTCCCTTGAGCTGGGGTGTGGCTCAGTGGTAGAGCACTTGCCTAACATGTAGAGCCAACACACACACACACACACACACACACACACACACACACACACACACACAAATCAAGTTCCCTTTTCTGCACTTCCCTTTTTTTGCTGATTTTTCACCCCTGAAGGCCTCACTGCCTCAAATAGCTCTCTGGTGCCTTCAAGGAGATTAAGTTTTCCCAGGTTTTCCATTTTGTTCTGTTGGAGTACTAGTCTGCCACAAGCTCTAAGGCTATTGCTAGAAGCAAAACTCCTTCATTTGTTTTCAACAAATGGAAAGACTAGAGCCAAAGAGATGAAATTCTTATAAAACATTTATAAAATTTAAAGTTGTGTGCTTCTCAGATGGCAAAGCATTAGAAAAGCATTAAGAGAACACCCACAGAGTGGGAGAAAATATTTGCCAGCTACACATCAGACAAAGGACTGATAACAGAATATATAGGGAACTTAAAAAACTAAATTCTCCCAAAACTAATGAACCAATAAAGAAATGGGCACGTGAACTAAACAGAACTTTCTCAAAAGAAGAAATTCAAATGGCCAAAAAACACATGAAAAAATGCTCACCATCGCTAGCAATAAAGGAAATACAAATTAAAACCACACTAAGATTCCACCTCACCCCTGTTAGAATAGCCATCATCAGCAACACCACCAACAACAGGTGTTAGTGAGGATGCGGGGAAAAAGGAACCCTCTTACACTGTTGGTGGGAATGTAAACTAGTACAACCACTCTGGAAAAAAATTTGGAGGCTACTTAAAAATCTAGACATTGATCTACCATTTGATCCAGCAATACCACTCTTGGGGATATACCCAAAAGACTGTGACACAGGTTACTCCAGAGGCACCTGCACACCCATGTTTATTGCGGCACTATTCACAATAGCCAAGTTATGGAAACAGCCAAGATGCCCCACTACTGACGAATGGATCAAGAAAATGTGGTATCTATACACAATGGAATTTTATGCAGCCACGAAGAAGAACGAAATGTTATCATTCTCTGGTAAATGGATGGAATTGGAGAACATCATTCTGAGTGAGGTTAGCCTGGCCCAAAAGACCAAAAATTGTATGTTCTCCCTCATATGCGGACATTAGCTCAAGGGCAAACACAACAAGGGGATTGAACTTTGATCAGAAGATAAAAGCGAGAGCCCACAAGAGAGATATGAGGATAAGTAAGACACCTAAAAACTTAGCTAGCATTTGTTGCCCTCAACGCAGAGAAACTAAAGCAGATACCTTAAAAGCAACTGAGGCCAATAGGAAAAGGGGACCAGGAACTAGAGAAAGGTTAGATCAAAAAGAATTAACCTAGAAGGTAACACACATGCACAGGAAATTAATGTGAGTCAACTCCCTGTATAGCTATCCTTATCTCAACCAGCAAAAACACTTGTTCCTTCCTCTTATTGCTTATACTCTTCTTCAACAAAATTAGAGATAAGGGCAAAATAGTTTCTGCCAGTAATTGAGGGGGTAGGGGGGAGAGGGAGGGGGCGGAGTGGGTGGTAAGGGAGTGGGGTGGGGGCAGGGGGGAGAAATGACCCAAGCATTGTGTGCAGATATGAATAATAAAACAATAAAAATTTTAAAAAAAGAAAAGCATTAATATACAGAGCGAGTTCTCTGATGACAAGTACTTAAGTTAGATGAAACATTGCATTTTCTTAATATGCTGGGAAATTAAGTGACGTCCCTCTAATGTATTCATGGGTTGCTTTAAGGGAACTAGTTGGAAATTTTCAAAAGTTGGCAGGTCTTGGCTGTTCCTTGCTGTTTTTAATAAGCTACAGGAATGAAGACAAGACCTTAGACTACCATTGGCCTATTTGCTAGTATAGATGGAAAGAGACAGACTTCTGCTAAGAAGGGCCCTTCTTATGCCTTGAATATGAAATGTCCCCACAGGCTGGTGTATTGAATACTTGATCTCCTGCTGGTGGTGCTATTTGGGGAGGTTCTGGACACTTTAGGAGGCAAGGCCTAGTTGAAAGAAGTAGTTCACTAGGGGTGTGACTTTGAAGGTCACACCTGGTCCCTGGTCCTTTCCTCACTTTCTGCTTCCTGTTCGCCATGAGGGCAGAAGCTCCTAAGACACACACTCCTGCCACCATGATGGTCTGCCCAAGCATCTGGGACCAAGCACCACAGACGGATCCCTCTGAAATCATGAGTCAAAACAAGTCTTTTCTCTTTTAAGTTGTTTTCTCTGGTATTTTGGTCACAGCAACAAGAAAGCTGACTAAAGTCCCAGTTGGTAAAGCCAAGTGCTTCTGTAACCTAAACACTGGGAAACAAAAACTTTCTCATTTCTTTCTTATTTGGTTTTTTTGGCAGTACTGGAATTGAACTCAAGGCCTAGTGCTTGCTAGGCAGGTGCTCTACCATTTGAGCCACACCCCCAGCACTTCTGCTTTAGTCTCTTTTTTTTTTTTCAGATAGAGTCTCCTACTAAGAGCCTTAGACTATGACCTTCCTCTCTTCATCTCCCAAGTAGCTGGGACCACAGGCATTTGCCACCATGCCAGGTTTGTTTGTAACGTTTTGCCCAGGCTTTCCTATCTCCAAGGAGCTGGGATTACAGGCATAAGCCAACACACCTGGCTCTCACATTTCTTAAAGGCCTCCCATGAAGATGTCTCAGCCAGACAATCAGAGACAATCTAGTAGCAAAAGTCAGGTTAAGAAATCTGATAAGAACTGCCCCTTCTGCAGCCTAAGCTGCAGCTGGTTTCACCCCTTGCAGAGCAAAGCCCCCTGTTCCTTATCTCCCACCACCTTCCTTTGCCCACCTCTAGACCTTGCTTCAGCAGCTGGTCTCATCCCTTGCAAAACAAAGCCCCACTGTCCCTTATCTCCTGCCACCTCTCTTTGTCCATCCCTAGCCCTTGCTTTCTCCCAAACGCTACTTAAGGCCAGACCTGCCGAAAGAAGCTGCTGAGCCATTTTCTCTCGGCCAGCCAGCCTGCTTATTAAACTTTTGGACATGAGATACCTCTCGTGAGCCTCCTTTGTGTGCAGTGTGCAGCATTTTCCTAACAAAATCCACCTTCCTTCCCAAGATGATTGACATCCCCTAGGTCTTCTTGGCAGAAAATTCATACAAAAAATGTGGTCTCTTGCAGAGAGTGCATCTCAAATGGTAGAGTGCTTGCCTACTAAGCACAAGGCCCTGAGTTCAAAATCCCAGCACCAGAAAAAAAAATTAAAATGTGGTTTCTCCAAGCCAACTAAGATTTATCCAACTGGCTCTAGATTCCAAGTACATAATAATCTCATGAATGAAACTGGGCTAGCTGTGGCCCAACCTCTGAAAAATGTTCCTTATAAGGAGCTTACAACTGTAAATGTGGGGAAAGGAGAAGACAACAATTTGGACAAAGGTCAAATCACACCATTTATTGCTAATGAATGTTGTATAATTTTCAAATGGCCACACACCACTGTTGAGTATTACTCTCTGTCAGAATAAAGAGGACTTTTTTTTTTGGTACTGGAGTTTGAACTCAGGGCCTCACGCTTGTTAGGCAGAATGCTGTACCTCTGGCTACTCTGCCAGCCCAAGTAGAATCTTATGAGCATAGTTTTGTGCTGTAAAACAAATTGGTATAAGGGTTAGCAAAGTGTATGTGAGGATTGTTAGTACAAAAAAGATCTGAGAAACAAAGGTTTTCCTGATATTCCTGTTCTCTGAGGTGGAGTGGGATGTTATGTTAAGATTTGGCCCATATCCCAACAGCATAATTTTCAAATAATCCACTCCTCTTCCAGCTGATGTCCAGGCTTGTGTACAATTATATTTATTGTACCAAAATAATTTTAATTATTTTATCAAGAACCATGAAGCTGAATGTTCTATCCTCTACTCAATGCTGATGTCAGAACTGTTGAACCTTCAACAAATGTGGATAGAATTGAGACATACTGGAATGACAGTGCTCAATCACAGTTATCTTTGTTTTCTTCTTCTTCTTTTTCTTTCAATCACAGTTATCTTAACCCTACTAGAAAGGCAATATCAATAGAGGTATTTAGATCTATAAATGTATCGCTTGTGTCGTTCTTCTCTGGCGGAGCCTGACATACAGAATGTGTTCTTTGATCTGCCCCAATATTCATTCTTCAGTGGTACCATGCCTATTCCTTTCCTTAGTAATCCTAACCAGTTTAGTTGGATAGGGATGAAGCTATCATCCCTGCACTTGTTGACATGACCCAGGCCTGACAATGAGCATCCACCTCTGGATATGATTGGCTCATGGGTTAGAAAATGACCCAAGTTAGACATACCAACCAGGAATTCTGCTGGGTTACTGGGAATCATCATTTCTCTTCTCTTCCACAATGAACTATTACAATTATGTGAGTTTGGTGCTACTGAGGTCTGTTTTTCCTACCACATGGAGAGAGCCTGCCAGAGAATGAGGTCAAGGCAGAGGAAAACAAATACAAGATATGGGGAGGGGAAAGGATAGGGAGAAAAAAACACATACAGAAAATAATATTGGCAATGACATTTGAACCACTGGGTCTCATAACATCAGATCTTTCCCTGGGTGGCCAAGATATATGCATCAGTGAATTACTTATTTTTGCTTGAACTACTTTGAGTTGGTCTTATTTATGTTTATCACATCCATCCTGCTTGGATAAATTTCCGAAGCAAATTGCAACAGTCATGTCACATGCTGAACATAAACTATTTCTATCATAGTTGAGTGTCAGGATGGGTATAGGGCTGGGACAGAGCACTGCAGCTGAGACAGAGTTCAGAACAGTCTAATTCAACAATATGGGAGAGAAGGTGTGAAGGCCACCACAGATCATCATACAAACTCAACACAGCATTAATCTTTATAGTCACACACTGGTTAGTTCCTACCTTTCCACAAAATCCATTTTCCAAAACAGAAAGAACTCCAGCCCATTATCTTGACCTTCAGAATAGGTACAAGAAGAAATTATCCAACCTGTCTTGTAATCATGGATGAAAGTTATTCTAGGAATTTCTGAAACATGACAAATGTAAGGAGGCAGAGAGCAAGGATGCCAGTGAAATATTCCCCAAACTTTCCCAGGACAAAGGGGAAGACTGACAACTCAGGGGACAATCAAGTCTTTCCTTTATATTGGGACTTCATCATCACTGCGATGATCCCTGAATGACCTGACACTCTGGGAGTACCCAGCTCAAGACTTAGCACAGCACAGGGCCAGCCCCAGCACCCCTGTGGGCCCCAGTCTATGACACCGGCTTAATGAAGCCATAATCCATGCATTTGATGAGACATTCCCGGGCTGTCTGAACCACAGCCGCCTTCTTCTCATCAGGCTCCTGCTTGCCCACCACAGTCAGGATCTCCAGAAGCTCACTCTCCACCAGCTTCTTGGCCAGCTCAGCATCAGCCACCAGGAGGTTGTAGGCGATGACCAGGCCGCGGTGCTGCACTGACAGTTGGTCATGCAGGCAAAGTCGCTGCAGGATCTCCAACCACTGGGGTGTCTGGAGAAGAGGGTAAGGACAGATTCAAGACATCAGTGAGGACTCAGAAAGCAGAGATTTGGAAACAAAATAAAAAGTGTGGGGCAGGCTCCCAGCTGTGGCCACACATCTGGAAATAGTAGAGAATTAACAACCAACCTCCATCTTTTTATTTTTCTGAAGCAGTCTGAGAAGCAAAGAGATATACATATCCATTACATATCTGAGCAGAACAAGGAATGTGTAGTATTCGGAAAAGAGATTTGCACCCTGGGTACATGGGTAACACCTGCCAGGTGTCCTTTGAGACAAGAACTCAAAGGGATGCAGGCATGTTCTGCAACTTTGACTTTGGAGTCAGCACAATAGTCTGGAGTGAACCCTCCCCTCCATTCTTGCTCCATTCACAGTTTTTTAAATGCCCAAGTACTGTGCATGGGGAGGCAGGACTCTGGACCACTGTGATCACCCCAGGAGACAGTGATGAAGCTGAGGATACAGGCTGACTCCTGCATCATTCAGCAGACACACACGAGGCAGCAGAGTAGAAGAGCCATTGTTGTAGGTTTGGAGTCAGAGACCAGTGTTCAAGTCCCAGCTTGGCACTTACCATCTGCACGGCCTCGACTAAATTATTTGCCCTCTCTAAGCCTCAGGGGCCTCATCTTCACTGCTCTGCCTACCTCTGCAGTTCTTTCTTTGTGGAAAGAACTTAGCAGAGGGCTGCAGTGTAATAAGTGCCCAACAGATAGACGTGGACGGGAATGACACCAAAGCAAAGGTTTTCCCCTTGGGCTTCCTCACACCCTCATTCACCATTTGTCAGCAGAGATTGCTTGTCATATGGGGAGACAGACACAGAGGGGAAGAAAAGACTTCTGTGCTTCTAAGCAGACTTTGGTACCTTCACTAAGCCTCCAATCTTGAGAAAGGGAATAGAAGTTCAGCCCACTGTGATGGGGTTCAGGGTACGTTTCTAGGCTGAGGGGCAACTGGTAATGGGCCCAGGGCCCACGGCTCCATGGGATGTCACTGGGAGCTCTGGGAAGGGGAGATAGAAACTCAACCAGAATAGCCAGAAGGCCGGAGGAACTGTCACCTGGCTTCCCAGGCCATATCCCAGCTAATGGGAGACTGCAGAGAGGTTAAGCTCCCAGCATGGCCACAGAATTGTGCAAAAGCTTTGCGAGGCTGCAGGATGACTGTGATGGGACAAGAATGCAGCCAAGAATTCTGAACGCCTCAGAAAGAAGGAAGATGAGCAGGAATAGGCTGGCCATCCTGAATGATTCCAGTTCATTTACACTAACTGTATAACCTTGGGCTACTTTTCTACATTTCAATATCCTAACCTATAAAATAAACATAATAACCATCTCCACCCTGCAGGGTGGTTGGGGAGATTAAATGATGTCAGAAATGCAAACACTTAGGGCAACGCTTAATGTACAATAAGTGCAAGGAGTTCCAGAGCATCCACGGCACCTCCCCCAGCTGGCAATGGTTTCAAAGTGTGGTCCCGCGCCAGAAGCTCCCTGAACTCAATCTACTGAATTGGAATAGTTCGGGAAAGCATTTTAACACACTCTGTGAGTTACATATGTCACATTTGGGCGGGGGTGGTGGGTAGTACTAGGCATTGAACTCAGGGCTTTGCACTTGACAAGCAAGTGCTCTGTCACTTGAGCTACTCTGCCAGCCCTTCTTGTGTCGGTTATTTTTGAGATAGGGTCTTGCTTTACGCTAGGCCAGCCTGGACCACGATCCTTCCATTTATGCTTCCCTGTGTACCTGGGATGACAGGCATGCACTACTGCTCACAGCCATTGGTTGAGATGGGGTCTTGAGAACTTTTTGTTTTCTTTTTTTGCCCCAGTTGGCCTTGAATTACAGTCTTTCAGATCTCCACCTCCCAAGTAGCTAGAATTACAGACTTGAACCACCACACCTGGCTTTTTGGATTGTTTTGAGACAGGGTCTCACAATATAGCCCAGACTAGCCTCTAACTCATGATTCTCCTGCCTCAGTCTCCTCAGTGCTGGGAATACAGGTGTGTACCACCATGTCCAGTTCATGTTAAAATTTAAGAACCTTGCCATAGGGAAAGAGGCTATTCAATAAGCATACAGGGTGAGCAACACTGAGCAGAAGTCCTGGTGCCAGGGTAACATAAACCCCTTGGAACTTAGAGAACACACACACACACACTGACTGTAAAAGAGCTGGCTAATAACCCAGACGTGAGTACCTTTGAGCTAGCTCAGGGGTGGTGAGGTAAGAGAGTTCTATCTTGCCCCACATGTGTGTGACCATGACACCACCATCCTGATTACACCTGCTGCAGTGGCCATGGTCCCACCATAAAAGCTGGCCACCATGTCGACTGCAGCTTTGCAACCTGCAGCCTCTTCACCAAACCACAGCTGCCTGTGCTCCACCAACTCCCTCCACACTTCTCTGAGGAGCTCAGCAGCCTGCACAGGAGTTGGCACTGCTGGTGTGATTATTCTTAAGTAATGAATTATGTTCACCACCAGAGGCAATGGGTGAGACCACAGTAGGAGGGTTGGAAAGCCCAAATAATGAGGGTAAGGGGCCAGAGGTCCACACCTCCTCTCTTCAGGGCATGGGAACAGGCCTCCCCAAGTTCACCGGGACAGTGTGGTCTGGGGGTGGGGACATCCTCTACAGCCCACCCAGCCCCTTCCTGTCCCCAGGACCCCCACTCACCACTTGGGTCATCTTAAGACACAGCTTCTTGTGTGCCGCTGTCAGCATGGCCAGGGCCCCTGCAGCTGCACTCTGCAGCTTGTCGTCATCCTCCCCACACAGCAGCACCACCAGCTTCAGCCGGTCATTCCCGTCAGCCAGGAACCTCTCCTGAACCTGTGGGAGGCAGGTGAATGGCTCAGAGCAAAATGCCCCCCAACCTGCATCTCCTGAGGAGGGAAAGTTTTCCAGCTCACGTTCTCTGATCCCTTGGGAGATTGCCTTTGAGCTGCTGGTCCATGCCACGTCCCCCAGATGAAGGGGCCAAAAATTCCCCAACTAGAAGGCTAAGAAAATAAAGGATTCCCTATGGCGTGATCTACCACCTACATTTGCATCTAGTTCCACACCAAGTAGGGAGAGGCAGGCATGGGAGAGCAACTGTACTGGCTCCACCAGCTGAGGGATGAGGTCTCCCCAGTACCTGACAGCAGAAGAGCCCCTGGGACCCAGGGCCCTGGCCTGTCACACAGAAGTATCAAGCCCTCAAGTCATTTTACTACTGCCCTCAGCACCACAGTGAAACTTGGTTGGCCAAGTTGAAGAGCACTTTATTGGATGGAGTTTCCAAGACATGGCGCTCCAGAAGGGGACAAAGTTCACAGCTACCCAGGTAAGACATCTCCCTAGGGCTGGAGCAGTGGTCATGAGAGGTGAGACTATCACAGAGGTGGTCAGGGCAGTCCCCTTTGGAGGGGCACAGGTGTTATGTTACTAGGAAGTAGCTGCCCTGCCAACGGCTTCATTACCCCTCCTCACACCTAGATGTGGACATGGCTAGTTCTTATCTGTGGGACAAGAGCAGAGGTGAGGCATGGCCCTGCCAGACCACCTTGGGTGAGTGCTATAGGTGCCTCTTCCAGGGTTTCATGGAGATCACTTCCAAGGTGGCAGGAGGGAGGCAGCTCTTAATGATCAAAGAGGCCAGGATCCCTTCATTGCTTGGAAGTGAGCACCCAATCCAATGGGACTATGGGGTAGCCACTGGAAAAGACCTTCTATCCTGTTGGCACACTGTGTAGTTTACAGCCACTGATGGTCCCCCAGGAAGAGTGCCTCCCCCTCCTTGCACTGTCCCTCTTTGTACCCCACCACCATCTCTGTCCCCTTAGACACAACCTCTTCCTCCCACATCACTGCCAGCCTCTCAGCCTAGACTTAAGCCAGCCTCCTAGTAGACCCTGGCAGCTTTATTTACTGTGACTCTAACAGGCTTTCGTAGCTCGTGTTCTCCTCCTATAACAGTGAGAAGATCCAGGACTTGCATATCAAGGAGAGAAAGCCTGAGTCTCACACTAGGCCCTGCATCCGGGCTCACACTCAAGAAGGGGCTCAGATTTATCTCTGATGGGATCAGACCCCAAAGGCCTAGTGACATGGATAGGATGGGAAGAAAACATTAGATGGTCATAATTTGTCCCATTACCAGACCATGAGGCTTTGGCATGTTCCAAATTCATTTTCTTTTTAAAAATCCTACAATTGGGTGGGGGCAGTGGGGAGAAATGAACCAATCCTTGTATGCACATATGAATAATAAAAGAAAAATGAAAAAAAAATCCTACAATTATTCTGCAGTGAGCAGTTATAGTGCACTGCAATTTCTATGAAAACAGTGATAGTTCATTAAATGCTAGCATTTAAGATATTCTAAAATGGCTGAGCGCTGGTGGCTCACACCTGGAATCCTAGCTACTCAGGAGGCAGAGATCAGGAGGATCTCAGTTCAAAGCCAGCCTGGGAAAATAGATCGAGAGACCCTATCTCAAAAAAACATATCACAAAACAAGGCTGGTGGAGTGGCTCAAGTGATAGAGTGCCTGCCTAGGACATGTAAGGCCCTGAGTTCAAACCCCAGTACTGCCTCCTGAAAAAAAAAAAAAAGATATTCTAAAATGATTTGTAACTGTATTTGGCATTTCTTTTGTTTTGTTCTGTTCTGCTGGTGGTACTGGGGTTGGAACTCAGAGCTTCTCCCTTGCCAGGCAGGTGCTCTACCACAGGAGCCTCAATCCCAGCTCTTTTGGGTTTGATTATTTTTGAGGTAAGGTCTCACATTTATGCCTAGGTTGACCTGAACCTCCATCCTCCTATTTATGTTTCCCTTGTAGCTGGGATGACAGGTATATGCCACCACACTCAATAAGACCTCACAAACTTTTTGCCTCAAGCCAGCCTCAAACCATGAGACCTCCTGAGTGGCCGGGATTACAAGCTTGAGCCATTGCACTTGTCCATTTCTTTGTTTTTTTGCTTGCTTGTTTGGTTGGTTTTGGTTGTAGTGGTTGTTGTTTCTGTTTTAAATCTATTTATCTAATAAATGCAAGTGGTCTAGCATCTCAACCTTTAAGAGGCTCTGGTCTCCCATCCTGCTTTGCTATGACATTATTTAGGCCTAAGTAACTTAGGGAAATGGTCCCTTCCACCTCATCCAGACCAAGCTTTGGAGTCAAAGCCCCAGCTTGGGATAATATCACTTTGTGCATATTTCTCAGAACCTCTGCAGGGAAGGAGGCTATAATCAATGAAAGATTCGGAGATTACTGGGTTCTCAGATCAAAATGCTACTTTAGTACCCTTGTGATGGTCTCCAGTCTCATCCCAGGCCTGATTGCTAACCTGGCCCTTTGTGGCTCTGTCACTCTCAGCCCCTTCCTCACCTCCTTGTTGACCACCATGTTGCACATGCACTCTGTGGCCGCCTGTCGCAGCTGGTCATGGTTCTCAAACATGTAGTTTTCGATGTCTGGCAAGGCCTTCTCCTTGAAGATCTTCTGCCTGGAGTGGGAGGGTGGAGTAAGAGATGCCCTTGAGTCCTCTGCAGTGAGCATGCAGGGTTTTGGCTACCCAGGGCTACTCCTCCATCCTCGTGGTGACCCTCCCACATCCTCAACCAGCATGATTTGGGTTGCACTGAGCCTGCTCCAGGAGGGACACAAAAGGGTACAAGCTAAATGACATAGCAAAGCATCATGGCCACCATAATGGTCCTGGATGAACATGGCAGCCCACTGAAAATTATTCTGTAATATTGTTGAGGGAGAGAAATTATCTTTCTTGTTCCTTCCTGCCTCATGTGAAGCCAAAATACAAAGTGCAGAGCAACCTTGTGACTGTGAGAGAGAGGAAAAGTCCATCTAAGAATTAAGACAACACAGAGAGGAGAGAAGAAGGGTGATAAGGAAAGGAAAGAAGAGAGGAGAAGTAGGGAGAACCAGTTAGCTGGGACAACTTTGCAACCCCTGCATCAAGCCACACCTGAATGTGGTTACCCCAGACTTTGGTTTTACTACTGAGGTTTGAACTCACACTTGCTAGGCAGGTGCGCTCGCACTTGAGTCACACACCCCCAGTCCTTTTGCTTTTAGATCAGGCACGTGCAGGGTAGTATGGCTGTAGACTAGTTTGTTTTTTAGATAGGCCCTCAAGCTTTTATGAGGGCTAATCTCTGACCTGATCCTCCTACATCCACCTCTCAGGTACCTTGGATTATAGGCATGTACCACCACACCTGGCTTGTTTTGTTGTTGCTTATTTTGTTTTGTCTGAGACAGGGTCTGAGTTGGCCTTGTACTTGTAACCCTCCTGTCTCAGTCTCCCAAGTGCTAGGATTGTAAGCATGCTCCCTCACACCTCACCCTACCCCAAACTTTTCATTTACTTGAGTGAATACCTTTCCTTAATGCAGAAAGCCAATTAGGGTTGAGTTTTTGCTGTTTGATGCAAAAGAATAAAAACCAAGGCATTCCACCATCACCCTGCTTCCAAGAAGGAATATGTGACATCCACATCCACCCACCTGGCTGTCTCCTCAGCACTACAGGAAGCCACGCCCTTGCAGTACTTTGGCTCCATTTGTCCCAAGTGATCTTTCTGAGTGCCAGGTCAAATCCCTCGCACTCTTGTTTCTGCCCACTGCCCTCCGCGATGGCTTCTGAGCAGAGCAGTTTTAACATATGATGTGGGCAAAATTTCAAGCAAACACTTTACAGGACTCTCCTCACCACCCCTGCCCTCTTCACCACCCCACTCACCGGAGTTTGTCGCTCCGCCCAGACAGGTTGGTGAGGCCTAGGAGAGCCTCATAGTTCTGGAAGCCCATCCCTCTGTGTGTCCAGGAGACTTACGAGGGGCCGCACCACCTCATACACCTGGTGAGGGATACAGATCAGGCCAGGTGGGGACCATGTCCCCCTATCCCTGGCCAGCTTTTGGCCTCCAAAGCTCCTTCCCACCACACATGGTCTGACAATCTCAGCAATGATCTGAGAGGTGGGTTATCTCCTCCATAAACAGGAGGAGGGCGGCTCTTTGCAGCTTCCTTGGGCTTGACTTCCTCCCCCACCTCTTATATCCATAGCAGCGTCTTGCCAAGGTGGCTCATTCTGGGCACAGACAGGTGGGATGCCCCCCTCCAGACTTTCACTGTTGTCTGGGGTTTCCCCAGTTCTGACTGGGTAACTTGGATGCCTAGGAGAGGGTCACTGCACTCTAAATATTATAGATGAGATAACAGAGTTTCTAGGAGGGCAATCCTGTTCACCAGAGGCAAAGCCATGCCTGGAATCCATGTGTCTCCAATTCATTGTCCTCCCTGTGACAGCACCATGTCCCTCTCCGGGCTGGGGTGGTGAGGGGACCAACAGCAGAGGAGACTCCTCCCATCCCATCCCTACCTCTCCAGAAACCCACCCGCTCCCCGGGGAAGGCGATGTCTGGATTGGAGACAGCGGCGATCTTGGCTAGAGCGTGCGCTGCCTTCACTTTGCCCACGTCTGTGCCCTCCAAAGCCAGGGGGATCAGGGCCTGCAAGAAAGGCGAAGTTACTACTCAGCCATAGACATCGGAGGCCTCTCCCATTCTCCAGCCCCAGCTGCAGTCTGTCTGTCTGTCTATATGTTCCATCGGAGATTCAAAAAATATCTGTGATATAATCAGCCCTTGGATATTATGGAAAACAATTAAGTACTTAACCATGAATGCACCCTAATACCCACCTAGGTCTTTACCCCCACTTCCTTCCACCCATCCAAATGTTCCATCAGATTTTGGGGGGAAATAATCTAGATAGATTTTTTTACTTTTTGTTCAAGCCAAGAAACTGTGACTCACAGAGAGTTAAGTAATGTGCCTAAGGTTACACAGCTGAGAAATACCAGGGAGGTATTTCTTTCCAGTACCAAGAAGGGCAGATGGGATCCCAAAGAACATACAATGGCATCATCAAATCAAGCAGAAATTGGTTTGGGGCCATGGACACGGACAGGGACATAACTGAGTGAGCACAGTATGCGTGTATACACACATACACCTATGCACACTCACACACAGTGCGTGCTCCTCCCCAGCAGATCACCTTCTAGGATGGCAAAGGCTTTATCTTGTCTAGTTACCTTGCCACCACCTTGAGCCACAATGGTGCCTCGGTCCTTTGGGTTGTCACACAGTGCCAGGAAGACCCTGCAGAGCCAGGAACAAAGGAGAACATTTAATGTGACTGTGCCCCCAGTTAGTCAGAGCTGGGGAAGCCTCCAGACAGCAGTGAAAGCCTGGAGAGGGCATCCCATGTTCCCATGCCCAGAATGAGCCACCTTGGGAAGATGCTGCCAAGGGCGTAAGTGGTGGTGGAGGAAGTGAAGCCAAGGGAGGCTACAAAGAGCCACCCCATTCCTGTTTATGTAGACAACCAATGGCTCCCCACTGTCCTCTGCCCCAGAGATTCTTCCTCTCTGCAGTCTGACCACGGCCCCCTCCCAGGTCTCATCTAGAACCACTTCCTCCCAGGCACTCCACGCTCTAGACCTACTTCAGGAGAACCCAAAATTCACTCGTTCTCCCTCCATCTTTAGTGTCTTGGCATATGCTATTCCTTCTGCCTGGAGCCCTTCCCTTCCCCGCACTTGGTTGGCTCCTTTCCTGCCTTCAGGGCTCCATTGAGTTGTCACTTCTGCCAGGAAGCCTCCTGGCTGCCAACTCAGTCAGTCTGGCTTTCACTCCAAACAGCCCTATGTGCTGGTCCCATTATGGACCCGCTGCACCATGCTGTAGTCACGATCTGTTTTCTTCCACCCAGGCTGCACAGAGATGAGTGGAGCCTTTCATCTCTGAAAATAAAGTAACTGGAATGGACAGTGACCACTCCTGATGTAAACTTTCCCAGGCTATCACTTTTCAACATTGGTGCCCTAGGGTCTCTTCTCCAGGACCTCCAGTGGCCCATGCCATCCCTTAGTCCCACTGTTTCTATCTCCTGCCCTGTGGTCCCTCCAGCCCAGCCTCAGCCACAGCTGCACCTGGCCAGCAGTTCCTTGGTCTGGTCGGTGAGGACAGCACTGTCTGCTTTGACCATGCAGGCCAGTGCAGAGACAACACCTGTCTTCAAGAGCCGCTTCACTCGAATGTCTACAAAGTCCTTCTTGTCCTGGGGGGGATGAAAGGGTGACAGTGGGGAAGGGACCTGGGTACCAGGTAATCAATACTGGAACTAAAAATGGTGCATTTCTGACTTCTTGTGGTCAGTTGAATAACAGCCTCCAAAGATGACCATGATCTGGAACCTGAGAATCATGTGACCTTACCTGACAAAGGGGACTTTGCAGAGATGACCAAATTCAGGAGCATGAGATAAGGAGATAATCCTGAATTACTAGGGCACCCAACATGATCACAACATAACCATGAGGCAGGAAGAACAAAGTTAATAATAGGAAATGTGACAACAGAATTGGGTGGAGTGATTGGAGGTCACAGCCAAGAAACAGAGATGACCTCTAGAAGCTGAAAGGGTCAAGGATTACTATTGTCCTCTCAGAGCCTCCAAAAGGAGCCAGACCTGCAGACACCTTGCCTCTAGCCCAGGGAGACGGGTTTTAGGACTTCTAACCTCCAGAACTGTAAGACTATTGCCAAAATATTGCGGTTCTCAGGCCACTCTGATGCAATGTGTTATAGAAGCAATGGGAACCAGATACACTTCTCCATGTTCTCTTTGCCCAAACACTGCCAAGGATTACATAGTCTGCTGCTGGAAATGTGAGAACACTTTTCCTCGTCCTTGTCCTCTACCCCCAGTGTGGAGGCCCAGAGACAGACACCATGAGAGAAACAACCCCAAAGGTGCTCTCTTACAAGAGGAGTGAAATACAAGAAAGATGATCAAAATACCAGATGTCCTATGTATTGCTTTTCATGGGGCAAGGGGGTTAAGGGGAGGATGCAGACAGAGCTGAAAGGGGATGATGGATGAAGCTGACATAGCAATGGGTTGGGTTTTACTGGGAAACCTCAGAGTGGCGAGTGGTCCGAGGGCACAGCCTCTAGAAGCACAGTTGAACTTCACAGTTGTCCAACGTGACCTAAGCCCTGGCCTGTGCGAGATACAATTCGACTTTCAGAAACGATTCAGAGAATGAGATGGCTATGTGGAACACACATTAAGTATTTTTCCAAAATCATGCATAACATGATAACTAAATTCTGATTGTGACTATAGAAGGAAAAGTTGCCCCAGGAGGAGGAAAAAGAGTGTCTGGTGTGTAACAAACATGCTGAAATGCCAGCAGTGGTCATGTGGAGATTGTAACATTGAATGGTTATTTTTTTGTCCACCTTCTTGTTTGTTTTGCAACATAGGTATATTATTTGGATCATTTTAAAACATATAAATAAATTTTCTGGCTGGGACTATTTTGCATATATAGTCACATGCAAGTGTCATACAAATTAATATTCTTGTGTGCAGGGAATTCTCATATCCTTGTGTTAGGATGTTAAGGGGGTTTGTGACATCTGGGCTAATGGTGACCCATGACTTTCCTCTCATTCCTATTTAGCTCCTGTCTCCCCAAATCCAGACACCCAAGAAAATCAAATTTTTGTAAGTCTTGGAAGCATGAAATAAAACTGTCTCACAGCCATGAAACCAACAACATAAATCTCAAAATGTGCAACAGTACAGAAAATTAAAACAAAGACAGGAGCACCATCTGGTGGGGAAATTGACCATTGTCAGCTTCAATTGATCTGAATCTTACCCAAATCCTCCCAAACACACACCACATCTCTGCTGCCCAGTACCCACCTTGGGATGCTCCTCAGGCACATGCTGCTTGGAGAACTTGGCGAGCTGCACCAGCTCTGGGATGAGCTCCTTGACATCATAGCTATTGGTGCAGTTCACCAGGGTGGTGGCCACCGAGTACAGAATGGTCTTGTCACTGGTCTGGAGGCATCAGATTAGGGAAAAGGCAGTCAGGAACTTTGAAACTGGCTGTTTTTAAGACAGCTCCCTGGCACGCTAGCAGGGGGAGAATGGGGGCTCATCGTGGAGACGTACAAGCCACACAGAGGAAAGGCAGTGGCTCTGCTCATAAAAGGTGGGCAGAAACATGAACTGAGCCCTCGGCATTATCCCAGAGCGCGTGACCAGGGGTCTTCTCACACAGCTCTTCAGCTTGGCGGCTTCTTCACAAGCTCAGTCCCACCCACTGTGCACGCTCTGATCTGATCCTAGTGAAAATCCTTCCCACTATTCTAGGAGAGGCAAGGCCAACTGCCTTGGAGGTCTCAGGATCTCACTTCTTGAGGGCCATGGGCAGATGTGCTGTCCTCTTGTTCACCCTCCCTCTGCCAGGAAGGCAGGAGGAGTTACGAGTCTACTACAGCCAGTTAAGATGAGGGCCAGAAAGAAGGAAAAGGCCAATCTAGGTTGACACAGGGGAGGGGACAGAGCCAGGATGAGGACACAGCCATTTAATCCCTGTGGGCCTGGCTCCAGGAACCCTTTCCTGAGGTGGGAGGTCAGGGCCACACTTGCCTTGGCCAGCTCGAACATGGCCTGCAGAGCAGGGATGTCCTGGACAAAGTCATCCTTTACATCAGCGTCCAGCGTGAGGTAGGCCAGGCCCTCCACTGCCCAACGCCTGGTCCGGGTGTCTATGGTTGTGTTGCACAGCCACCTGAAATGGGGGAGGGAGGGATGCTGGAGAAGGTGCCAGACCTCTGATCAAAAGGAAAGCAATTTCAGGGTAGTGGATAGAGGTGGGGGTCTTTCACTATCTGGCTTCAACAGGAACTCTCTCTCCTCAGAGACCCCTGCACAGAAGCCCACCAGGAGATGGAGGGCTGGGAGGTACAACCCTCTTACTTGCGACACTGCTTGGCCAGCTTCTCAGTTGATCCTTCGGCAAACTGCCTGAGACCATAGTCTGTGCCACCGGCAGAGCCCAGCTTACAGAGTCCCTGTGGAAGAGGCAGACACATGCAGGTCAGGGGTCCCTAGACTGGGGCTACAACACTCCTCACCTCGTCTGTGCCTGGACATATCTCTATATGGACTACACACTGCTCAGGGTCACCTCTTCTGAGATGCCCTCCTGAACTCTCAGTTAGAGTGAACGCTCCCAAAGTCCAGGGCTTTTACCTGCCCATCCCCCCACCATCTGACCTCACAGATGTCTTGAAAGATCCATACAAGAGCTGGGTGCCTATGGCTCACACCTGTAATTCTGGCTACCTGGGAGGCTGAGATCAGGAAGGCCAGCCTGGGCAAATAGTTTGTGAGACCCCATCTCCAAAATTACCAGAGCAAAATGAACTAAAGGTGAACTAAAGCTCAAGTGATAAAGTACCTGCTTGCACAGTATGAAGCCTTGAATTCAAACCCCAGTTCCACCCCCAAAAAATGATATGAGCTAGACGTGGTGGTGCATGCCGGTAACCTCAGCATTCGGGACGCTGATGCAGGAGGTTTATGAGTTCAAGGCCAGCCTGGGCTACATACTGAGACCCTGTCTCATAACAAACAGAAAATTGATATGAATAAAAAACCAGATCGATGACTCAAATATCTGTCATTGTTTACAAGATAAAGAAAAGATCAATGGAAACAATTTTAAGAAATGGAGAAAATGAAGAGGGTTTAACCGTGCCACGTGGCAGCTGCTAAGGAAACGGACTTGGCACTTGCTCTGAAAGTACGTTTGGACAAAGCTCATTGGTGTGCCTTTCACAGCACGGAGGCGAATGTCCTTGGGGGTAAGCATGGGGTCCACCCTTCTGAATCTGTCTCCCACTCCTGCATGCTGCCCTGTTCTTCAGGGGCCTGTGGCTGGGCCTGAGTGGACCCTATTTGTGGCCACACCTCATTCATCCAGCTGTGCCTAGTGCTCGTCCCCGTGCCTGAGCGGATAGGTGGATAATACTGAGCCCACTCACCACCAGCGTGCGGATCTTGATCTTCTCATTTTTGGTGGTCTTGTAGATTTCTTTGAGCAAGGACACACCATTGGTGATGATGAAGGTGGCTCGGCTGAGCTTGGTGGAGGCATGGATGAGCGCCTCCACTGCCACCAGCTGGTCTGCCTCTCTCTCTGAGCCACACAGTGCCACCATCACCTCCATCACACCTTTCATTCCCAGGAGCTGATTGCCAAGGTCGAAGGGCCCTTGCAGAATCCCTGACACCGTCTGAATAGCATTCACATTCTTGTCCATGTCCTGGGGGTCAAACTTGCCCCTAAAACAGAGGGCAAAGGTTGTCAAAGAATTGGCCCTTGGGGTGGGAAAAGTGTGAGATGTGGAGGCAGACAGATAGGGATTCAAATCCCTGCTCTACCACTCATGTGCTGTGTGATATTGCATAATTCACTGACCTCTCTGAGCCTCAATTCCTTGATCAGCAAACTGAGGATAGCACTAGTACTTCTCAGAGTTTTGGTGAGGATTAATGGTATCACTGATGTATCGTGGAGAGAGGCCCCTAGAAAACACACTCTGACTCCGTGATCAACATGCAGGAAGTTAAAGAGCTCTTAGGAAGAGGAGGAAGAAGGACCGTACAGAGACAGGCACTGGGCTGCACTGCAATCACCACAAAACCTCAGTCTCAAAGAATTCTGAGCTGGGTCACCCAGCAGAGTTGTTCCATGTTGGGATGAGGAACAAGTCACTAGATGCTGGCTGTCCTGGGAAGGGTGAGACAGCTTTCCTCCGTTAAGGTGAGCTCCAAAGAACAGGACTGCTGAGAGCTGATAGCCTTTCCAGCAGCTGAGGTGTCTGGTGGGACAGTATGGTGTCCACAGCCACCAAAAGGGCCTGGCATACTGTAGTGCTCAGCCTCCCTCTCATCAAGTGAGATTGTAGAGCTCAATTTGGGATCTCATAAAGGAACTCCAGAAGTTAGCAGGACAGATGAAACTATGGCAGGCAGAGATAGAAATGCTGCCAAGACCTTTAAGTGAACTGAAGTCGGAGTTAGTAGAAGCTATGAGATAGTCAGGAGTTGGCACATCTGGGAGCTGCCTTCTGAGTACTAGGACTACAGGTATGAGCTACTGGCACCCAGCATTTTAATGGTTAAACAAAAAAGAGTGAACTGGGCACCAATGGCTCACGCCTGTAATCCTAGCTATTTGGGAGGCTGAGATTGGAAGGATCATGGTTCAAGGCCAGTACAGTCAAATTTAGTCTCCAATTCTAAAATGACCAGAGCTAAATGGACTGGAGGCATGGCTCAAGCAGTAGAGCACCTACTTTGCAAGCATGAAACCCTGAATTCAAACCCCAGTCCCACACACAAACACGCACAAAGACCAAGCAATAGAAATGTGTAAGTTTGTCCTACAAACAGTTTGCCACCCTGGGAAGAGAGAAAAGAAAAGGAGAATAAAAGTGGTATCTTCTGTCACCTAGGACTCATACAGAACTCAGTTTCCTGGGCAGGGAGGAGGTTGAGGGGGGCAGACGATGGGGGCAATGTAACTAATGTACAATATAAGTCTAATCAGAACTGTCACTGTGACTCCCCCCAAATAATGAATACATCCTAGTTTAAAGAATTATAAAATAGAACTCAGCTCCCTGAGTCACAGCCCAGATACTAAGCAACGTAGTGTCCCAGAAATCCCAACAATTTGCAAGTTGGAGAATCAGTGGAACAAAGTCAAAAGGCTGTGCAGCAGTGGCAGGAGAAGGGGCAGGTCACCCAAGGAGAAACAGAGTCCCAGAGAAAGCATCTGAGATGACAGAGTGGCAGTGAGAAGACCTAGGAAGCCCAGCTGCTGAGAGCCCCAAGCCCACCTAGTCTCTACAAAGCCACGCAGACCCAGCCTCCCCTGACAAGCTCACAGGAACCTATGGTAGGTTTTAATTTATGTTCAGAATAGCATTTTAAATATGGTCTAGAACCCAGGGCCTCGTCCACGCTAGGCAGGCCCTCTGTCACTAGTGTAGCTACATGTTTTGACATTCTTCCTTCACAATGTGGAACCTGATTCTTTTTCCTTAAGGCCAGACTTAAGAGCTTGCGTCTACGGAATAAAATGTGAAGGAAGGAATGGTGTGTGGCTGCTGAGGCTAGAATACAGAAGACATTGCCCTTCTCCTTGCTCTCTCTCAGATCCCTCACTCTAAGGAGTGCAGTAAGGCTCTTTGGCAGTCTGTGGAGAGGTTCACTTGAGAAGGAACTGAGGCCTCCCACCAACAGTCCACCATGTGAGTGCACCATCTTGGAAGCATCTTCTAGCCCCATGCAAGCCATCAGATGACTGTATCCCAGGCCAACAAAATGGTAACTTCATGAAAGACCCAAGCCAGAACTACCCAGCCAAGCCATTCCCAAAAGTCAATCCTACTGCAAGATAATAAATGATTATTACTGTTCTAAGTTAGCAAATTCTGGAATAATTTGTTACACAACTATAGGTATCTAATTTCGAGCCCCCCGTGAGAGGTCTCCAGAAACTCACGTGATGTACTCCTCACAGATCTTGCGGAAGTGATCCCGCTCCGGGTCGCAGCGCAGGTCGTCATAGAGCTTGCTGATGAGGATAGAGGCCAGCATTCGGGTGTTTTCAGTCAGAGGCAGGCAGGAGGGCAGGTCTGGAACCTGCCCTACGACCTTCAGGATCTTTCTCAGGCCTGCAGGGCAACAGCAACAAGTGTAAGATACCTGCATGGTTCTGTCCTCACTAGTACACCCCTCCCTCAGCGATGGCTTATCACCAAGCCCACTCCAGCCCTGGCTTTCAGCAGCGCATGGCTTCTCCATGGCACTGCAGTGGGACCAAGAGTACTCCACCTGACTGTGCCCCTACCACGAACAACCCACCTCCCACTCTGGGCCTCTACTTCCACAGCCTCACCATCAAGGCTAGTGAGCTCAGGGGACTTGGCCAGTGTTAACATTTATGGATTAACATACAATCTTTCTCAATACCATTTTATATTCTCTTTTCCCAGGCCTCAGATTCTTCTATTTGTAACATGGAAATAATACTACTGTAGCAGGGAGGAGGGCCAGAAGAGAAACAGACAGGCTGTGTTCTGATAATGAGGCACGGGGAAGGGATGGCAAAACAGAGTGAAAACTTAAAGAATTAAAACATGAAGAAGGTCACATAGCACTGGGAAAAAGAAATAGCCAATGAAGTCACATGCAGCCATATGTGGGTTGAGCTTTGCTTTTTGCTTCTGTAACCTGCTTGCAAGGGAATATAAGGTGAGACCTCTTTGTTCTGGGGGCTCAGCCTTAGGACATGAGTCCGCTGGGTCTGTGTTGGCACAATAAAACGTTGCTTCCTGCTAAACTGCCTCAGTGTCCGTATCTCAGCTTGAGATTCCCACAACACTACCTACTTTATAGAGCTAGAGGATTCAATCAGATAATGTGTGGAAATAGTGCTAATCCAGAGACATCATTATCACTCAATAAATGTCTGCTATTTATTTAGTAAATAGTAAATTTACTATTCATTATGATTATCCCTTCTCAGCAATTTGGCTGAAGAATCTTCAATGGCTCTCTCCATCAAGCTAACCCAACAGTCACGTAGTTGTTGCATAAGTGAATGAATAAATGAGCACCTTTTAGGTCCAGACTTCAATGCAGTCAGAACCCAAACATCATAAAAAGATGGCAGGAAGAGATGATCAGTCCTGAGTGATAACACTGCAGATGGTGACTAACTCCAATATGATAAGAGTTGCAAGTTGTTTTGAGCTCTTACTGGGCCCAGGAGGCTTCTACATTGCCTTATTTAACTCTAATAATAACCCCACTAGTTAGGAATCACTATTCCCATCTTTCAGAGCACAAAAACAAGACTTAGAGAAGTCAGGTGAGCTGCCCCCGATCACGCTGCTGGCAAGGGACATGGTGAGGATACCCTTTCCATAACGTCTGGTGTCAAAACCCACAGTGTTAACTGTTATAATAGCACACTGTGACATGGACAGCTGAATCTCACAGCCAAGTTTTAAGGGTGGCTTGGAGTTGGTCGGACCTTGGATGGCACCATAAGTGGGAGGAAGAACAGTCAAGGTAAGTGTGGGAGGCAGAAAACTCTGGATGTTGGGGGGAAATTAAAAGTGCTTGGCAGCAAACGTTGCTCTGTGAATTTTACCACTTTAAGGAAAACTTCTGCTTCTTCTCTACTCCTCCTCTTAGTATTTCACATCTGACACCAGCTGAGTGTCCATGATGCTCATGGAAAGGCCAGGGTGGAGGGGTAAGGCTCCCATGCCCTCTCCACACGGGCCTCCTTCCCAGCACCTCCCAGTGTTGAATCCAGAAGCAATGTGAACCCTCCTACCATACGAGATTCTTTTCTTTGTGGGACTGAGGTTTGAACTTAGGGATTTGCACTTGCAAGGCAAGAGCTCTACCATGTGACCAAGCCTCCAGTCCATTTTGCTCTGGTAATTTTGGAGCTAGGGTCTCATGAACTATTTGCTCTGGCTAACTTGAACTGTAATTCTTCCAGTGATGTCAGCCTCCCAAGTAGCTAGTGTTGGATCTGGAGACCTAAGGCAGATGAGTGAGTAGCCCATCCCCCATGGAGAGCACTGTGATTTCTACACCCTGAGAAGGAGTCCTAAACCTGCATTCCTACACCCTGAGGAGGAGATGCAGGGTCTTGTAGATCTGCCACAGGGCTGATGAGCAAAATGCTCTCAAGATCGTTTCCCCTCCCCCAATAAGAGGCAAACAGACCAGTTCATCTAAGAAAGCCCACGAATCCATGGCCAATGAAAAGAGCCCAGCTAACTCTTACCCAAACCCAGAGTTAAAACGTCCATAAAAGCCCCAGCCTTCACCTGAGCAGAGAGCTACCAGTTTCCAGGCTCTGCTGCACTTCTCTAGCTGTAGCCTTTCCTTTCTCTCTAATAAACCCTACTTTATACACCGGCTTTGGCGCATCATTCAGCTGCCTCACGAGCCAGTTCTCTGACCTATGAAGGCAAGGACCCTCGACACTGGCCTGCAACACTTCCTTGTGCTGCTCACCCTGTCTCTCTCTCTCTCTGTTCCTGTCTTCCTGAGGGACTTTCCCATCATGGTATCAAACCAACAGCTCCTAGCCAATTTTGGCCTCACAGCAATTCTGGCTCTGGGGGTGCTTTTGCTCCCTCCCTGTGGGCTGAGACCAAGCCCAGGGTTTATTTGGGTATGCCTCATGCTACGTTGGAGGAGACCTGATTGGTTGTGGCACCTGATGACTTTTTGTCTTTTCCCGCCACCGTGTCCATCATCTCTGTCTGCCTTCCCCTCCTTGTGCTTACTGGGACCCCGGCCTCCCATGGAAAACTCATACCATGGTACCTTATGACATTCTTAAGTTATATCCATACCTAGTTTTGTCATGCCCCTTGGTCCACAGTAACTTCAGGTTAGCTTCTGGGCGCCAGTGGAGGCAAGGACCTTCAGAAAAACTGCAGCTGCACCACACACACCCTAATTCCACCCCCACAGGGGAGGAAGGAAAACAAAGAGGAGCACTCATGCACAGGAATGCTGGCCCCTGGACACAGCAGTAATGCCTGCCATAGCTAAGATAGTCCATAGAAAGGGCCCAGCATGCATCCAAACTTGCCAGCCATACATGGCAGCACCTGTGACCTGCTGCCACTCCCCCTAAAAGGGATGAGAGGAAAAATAAACACACACAAGCACACCTACACAGGGGGAGGGGCAACAGGCCTCAGGATCAGTCCTGGGCATGGGGGAAGGTGGCAGCGCTTTGCACAGGCCCCATTCCCAGCCCCACCTCATGCCTCAGGTCTGACCAACTGAGGCTTTGGAGCCAATTCTTATCTCAAGGTTATGGTCCCCCCCACTCAAAAAACAAAAGAAGGCACTAATGTAACCTTCCGGGAACAACAAAATGGGCATTGTTATGGTCTCTAAACTTCACATTTAAAATTTCCTATACTTTTGGCCTCAGCATAAAAATTTTCCCCTCCACATATTAGCACTAGTCTCCCCTTGTGGTACTGTTATTTCCTCTGGGATCCCCTTTGAATACACTTCTCTAACCTTACAGGCATCCCTTTAAAGAGGCTCCCTGCTTCTGGCTAAAAGGCAGAATCCTAGAGTTTTCCTCTCAATGCGCCAGTCAGGTGACCTAATCTGATGCAGTCACTTTCTCTGGTCCTGGTCACAAATGGCAAAGAAAGTCACGTGACAGGGACGTCTGCTCTTGTTAGGTCAATTTCCAGTCAGGATGCCAACAACAGGGGATCTGACCCAGTCCTTTGTTGTTGCTGTGTTCTAGATGGGACCTGCCCCCTCCGGTCTTCTGGAGGTCCTGAAGAAAATCCCCTTACCTAAGGATGCTATCAGAAAGCATACCACAGTGGACCCAGAGTCACAGGTGGGAGAGGTTCTCCTCAAAGATAAATTTCTAACTCAATCAGCTCCAGATATCCATAGAAAACTCCAGAAGTCTGTGGCTGAAGGAGAAAAATCATTGGACCAACTAAAACAGCCAGCCATGTCTGTATACTATAACCGGGACATCACTAAAAAAGAAAGAAAAGGATAAAAGACACCATGACCTCATTGCAGCTCTCAGGGAGTGCCCCACCCGACAGGGGCCTATACCCTGAGCTTGCTACCATTGTGGACAAGAGTGGCACTTCTGCAGGGAATGTCCAAAAGGGGGACAGCCTGGGAGACAGCGTTGGCCCCTACCAGAACCTTGTCCTCTCTGCAAATGCAACCACTGGAGATCTAAGTGCTTCCCATCTCCAAATGGAAGATAGGGTGCCACCTCCTATGATTGATGGGTCCCAGGGCCTCTTGTCCAGGCTCCACTTCTTAGCGTCAATGTTGAGGCACCTCAGGTAACCATAATGGTAGAGAAGTGAAAGGTCATTTTCCTCTTAGACAGTGGAGCCTGTTTCTCTGTCTTACCTTTCTCTCCTGGTCCCCAGTCCAATGACAAGGTTATCATTTGGGGCAAATCTGGCCAGCCCCTACAATGCTATTTTACTGGCCTCTGCCCTGCTCTTGGGGAGACCTCCACTTCTATCAGTCTTTTCTCATAGTTCCTGAAACTCCAGTGCCCCTGCTGGGATGGGATTTACTATCTCAACTAAAGGCTCAAATTCTACTCCCCAGGGGACTATCTCTGCTGCCCCCTTCTTCAGAAATAAGTAGATCCCACAGTGTGGACTGATGGAATGTCTGTAGGGCAAGCCATAATGGCACCCCCAATTCACAGTTTCTACACCAAAAACAGTACCCCCTCAAGCCTGAGGGATGAAAAGGCCTCTTACCTATCATAAATTCCTTTAAAAAAAAAAAAAAGGGCTACTAATTAGTTTCTCCAACCCCTACAATACCCCTATTCTTGTTGTCCACAAGGAGCCAAACAAATGGAGACTGGTTCAAGACCTCTGGCTCATTAATGAAGCAGTCATTCCCCTCCACCCAATTGTTCCCAACCCCTATACTCTTGGCTCAAATACCCTCAAAAGCCCAACATTACTCTGTACTAGATTTAAAGGATGCTTTCTTTTGCATTCCTCTGCATCCTGACAGTCAGCCTGATTGCCTTTGAAGATCCCACTAACCCCTCACTACAACTAACTTGGACAGTTTTGCCACAGGGTTTAGAGACAGCCCTCATCTTTTTGGACAGGCTCTAACCAGAGACTCATTAGATTGGCACTGCCCAGAGGCTACCCTTCTTCAGTATGTTGATGACTTACTTCTGTACAGAGCCTCTCATCTCTAGAGTGACTGAGTCCCTTTTAAACTTTCTGGCCTCCTGGGGATACAAAGTCTCCAAGGAAAAGGCTCAATTATGCCTCCCTCAGGTCACCTACCTAGGCATGATCTTAAAAGGACAGACTCGCTCCCTGAGTCATGAGCAGATTAACCCAATCCTCCATTTTTCCCACTCCCCCAGACCATAAAGCAGCTTGGAGCTTTCTTAGGAGTTACGGGATTTTGCACAATCTGGATCCCTAGATATGCAGCCCTTGCAAGACCCCTTGTTAGGCTCCTACTAATATTCCTATTTGGGCCTTGCATAATAAATGCTGTCTCCAGATTTATATCTTGACAGATTGAACAGATCAAACTCCAGCTCTTAGTCAAGAAATACTCACCACTGCCTATGCATGAGCCATCCATCCCATTCTATCAGGGGCCCCTGGAGACTACAGAGGCCAACCCCTGAGACAAGTACCCTCTCCCCTATCCCCCATCACCCCATTGTCAGCATGAAGCAGCTAGATGAGTCATCACCCCTCTCCCCAACAGCAGTCTCAGAGGGGTCTGGAGACCTAAGGCAGATGAGTGAGTATCCCATCCCCCCACATGGAGAGCACTATCATTCCTGCATCCTGAGAAGGAGTTGTAAACCTGCATTCCTGCACCCTGAAGAGGAGGTGCAGGGTCTCATAGATCTGCGTTGATTAGCAAAATCCTCTCAAGGTCATTTCCCCTCCCCCAATAAAGGACAAACAAACCAGTTCACCTAAGAAAGCCCACAAATCCATGGCCAATGAAAAAAGCCCTGCTAACCCTTACCCAAACCCAGAGCTAAAACATCCATAAAAGCCCCAGCCTTCACCTGAGCAGCAAGCCACCAGTATCCAGGTGCCCCTGCACTGCCCTAGCTATAGCCTTTCCTTTCTCTCTAATAAATCCTATTTCATATACCAGCTTTGGCTCATCACTGAGCTGCCTCACAAGCCAGTTCTCTGGCATGTGAAGGCAAGGACCCTCGACACCAGCCAGCAACACCTCAAACTGGCATGTGACACTAGGATTACAGGCATGAACCACCAGTGCCTGGCTAGAGATTCTTTTAATGGAAGCTTCGTGATGATTTATTAAGTCATTGCTCATTACTGATTAACTCAATCTCCCCTCATCTGAGGTCAGAGGTTGGGGTGGGGGTGGAAAGTTCCAACCCTCTAATCCCATGGCAACCTCCACTTCCCCTATCCTAGTCCACCCAGGATCCCAATCACTGGTCATCAGCATACTAAATACACTTAATGAAAAGTCCAACAGTATTAGGAACTGTGTGCCAGGAGGATACAGAAACTAAATAGATATTTCTTACTATGTTACATAAAACATGCTTGGTAGGGCTGGAAGGGGCTTAATGAACCAACTCAGACTCCTGGCTTGGCCCCCAAAGGCCTCCACCAAATGCACCTGCTCCACCTCCCATCCCTTCCCCAGCTTCATCTCCCACTCTTCCTTCCATCCTGCCTACACCTTGGGCATCTCACTTCTTTTCTGTAAGAACGCTGTAGACCTCCTCTTTGTCAATCTTTGTCCCTTCCGTAAGCCAGGAGCTCACTTCAGGTTTGACCTGCTGAAGGCTCCTTTATCATCCTAGTTTGCATTACACAGACACCTCATATTGCAGAATTTTAAAATCCACTTCATTTTCACCCATACACTATTGTTTTGTGTGTTTGTTTTTTGTGATACTGCAGCTTGAACTCAGGGCCTTCACCTTAAGCCACTCCACCAACCCTATTTTTGTGAAGGGTTTATCAAGATAGGGTTTCACAAACTATTTGCCTGGACAGGCTTTGAACCGTGATCCTCCAGATCTCTGCCTCACGAGTAGCTAGGAGTACAGGCATGAGCCACCAGCGCCCAGCCACACTGTTCATCTTGATGCCCTTCAACAAAGGAGTAGAGTAAGATATACTGCTCTCCACCCACCCCATCTATAAACCAGGTGATTGAGCCTAGATCCCAGTGTGGAGAGAAAAGGTTGTTGATAGATGCAGAGAAGACCAGCACTGGGGTGAGGAGGGGAGGAAATGGGGGGGCCTCAGCCTTAAGCACACGAGTGATTTGTTAAAGTCTAAGCATTTGCATGTGCCATGTGCACTTTGTTGAAATCCTCAAAAACCAAACAAGGTAAGTACAACGCAGAAAGATAAACTTCATGCCAGAACCTTTCAGAGCAAGGTCATAAACCTGTGGAAGAATTTAGTGTAGCAGACTGTAAAGCCACAGGTATGATTCCTGAACAAGAAGAGATGTTGATTTAGGAAAGGGCCAATAGCCTGGAGCTAGCAAATGTGGTGACCATCTGCAGAACACTTCTACTTTGCTCAGTAAAAGTACACTTGATGCCATCTTCCCCCCACCCCCGGAAGACTTGTGATTTATTTTTCCAACCATGAGACTTCGGGAGTGTCACCTCACTTTGGTAGAGCTTTGTTTGTTTCTTAACACTTGCCCCTATTCTTAGATGACTCCACCCAGATGTTTTGGGGTGTGCCTGGACATTTTCTGGGTGTGTTCAAGCTCTGAATTCAGAGCCTTGACTTACACCTTCACCAGCCCACTGGTGGACCCTAATATGCTAATTCAAGTTCCCTTCTTTTCTGGTGGTACTAAAGACTCCCTCCAGGGCCTGGTGGAGTGGCTCAAATGGTAGAGTGCCTGCCTTGCAAGCATAATGCCCTGAGTTCAAACCTCAGTACTGCCAAAAAGAAACTCCATGGACTTTCAATAGAATGAGAATCAGAAGCTAAGCAGGTATCTAAAGAGACAGATACAAAGACTCCCTCCAGACAAGAGGGACTTTCTGCTCAGTGACAGGGACCCTGGTGCCCATTCAAAAGTCCTAGGTGAAGCCAGGCACCAGTGGCTCACTTCTGTAATCCCAGCTACTTAGTAGGCAGAGATCAGGAGGGTAGCAGTTTGAAGCCAGCCTGGGCAAATAGTTCACAAGACCCTATCTTGAAAATACCTAACACAAAAAGGGCTGGTAGAGTGTAGACCCTGAGTTCAAATCCCAGTACTGAAAAAAAATAAAGCTTAGGTGAGCCCCAAGCCCTCCCACCTCCTCACCATTATCCACCACATAGATGGTGCGCGAGTTGTCATGAATGGCGAGGTCCTTCCTGGGGACATTCTTATTGAGCAGGTTCAGCGCCTGGTCCCTGCCCTGGCCAGACACCTTCTTACTGACCAGCATGTCAAGCAGGTGGCTGGTGATCTGCTTCAGGTCCTTCTTGGTGTCTGCAAAACGAGGAAAGAAGAGTAAATAGAGAGATGGAGAAAGTCTCACATAGATAGGAATAGGAATGACAAAGGCTTCTAGAAGGACTCTGGAGATATCAAACCCTCTGCTTTCTGAGACTGTGGAGTTCCCAGGAGTGTATAGTGTTGCCAATCTCACCCCAAGAAAGGGAAAGAAATCCCTAGACCATACCCCCAAGGGTCCTCCGGCCACTCTGAACATTCCCTTCAAAGACAGCCCATTCTATTCTTGAATAGTTCTGGTTCCTTGAAAGCCTTTCACTCCCAGGCAGTGATTGGCAGAGATCCAGAGGCGTTTTGTGTAGTTTCTAATAAATTGATTTAATAAAAATGTTTTCCAGAAAGGAAATTTACACTCCCTACAAACACTTTCCTTCCCACAGATTCAGGCACACTGGGAGCCTGAATGCCAGCCTTTGTCAATGATGCCAGAGCTCTGGCCTGCTATGGATGTTACAAAGCAAGTGCCTTTCCTCGATTTTGCTCTGTGTGACTGCCCTGAGTCATGGAGGGATTTTAGCTCTCATTCTAGGATAGAGCCCAAAGACAAGCAGGCTGGCAGGAAAGTAAGGATCTCCAAGCCATGCCAAATCAATAACAGATGAGGAATGGAGCTACACCACGTGACAAAGGAAAAACTTGCGTGGATATGGTGTCTTGTTTTCAGATAAAGGCACATCATGGGCTAACAGACTCATCTGCAATGCTCCACAGAACAGAATTGGGATGAGAGGCTGGTAGAAGCTATAAGGTGAAAGATTTGAAATCAGTATGTAGGAGGCTTTTGTATCAGAGATGTCCAACAAGTCACTACATCCTAAGGAAGTTGTGGAAGTTGTGTCATGGTAGCCCCCAATGAAGTACCCCTCCCAGTATTCACCTTTCCCACCTGGCCCTGGATTGCTCATAGGACAGTGGCAAAGCCAAAGGCTTACAAAGCACCTGCACATTGGGCTTGTCTATTTAAAATTCAGCCACCATGTCATAAAGAAATTCAAGCTGGCCACCAGAAAGGTCACAAGGAAAATAACTCAAGGTTTCCTAGCCAACATCTCCAGTTAATGAACAGCCATCCAAATGAGGTCATCTTAGACCTTCCAAAATTCTACATCAGAAAAAGGTACGTGGCTCACAGGCCATTAGAGTAGTAAGTTATAGCCACATCAAGAATCCAGGTCTGGGGCTGGGTTATGATAGAGCACCTGCCTAGTAAGTGTGAAGCCCTGAGTTCAAATCCCAGTACTACAAAAAAAAGAAGAATCTAGGACTCTAAAAGTTAATATTAATTATCTATAAAAAGCTCTTAGTAAATAAGAAAGATGATACCCCAACAGAAAAAAATAGGTAACAACATGAACCATTCAAAGATAAAGAAATCCAAGTGGCTAAAAAATACAAGAAAAATGATCCATCTCACTAATTTTGTTTTGTTTTGCTTTGCTTTTGTGGCACTGAGAATTGAACTCAGGGCCACAAACTTGCTAGGCAAGTACTCTACTAGTACTAGTAGAGTTACTCATCTAGTAACATGAACTCTACCCTCAGTTCCTGTTACTACTTTTAAAACTCAAAATAATTTTATGTACCTACTAGGAAAACATCTTTAAGAACAATAGTATTCAAATCTGGTGAGAATGTATTGAAATGAAAGAGGATCGCCCATCACTCCCATCATTACTTGGTGAGCGTGTTACCATGGAAAAACCTAAATAATTCCACTACCTTACTTGCTCTCTGTTGACTTAAGACTCCTAATTTTGAAGGTCACACAGGTAGGCAATATGTCATTAGTCTCCCACTAGCTTTGCTGTAACTGACACTTCTGCCATATGGGTTATGATAATTAGTTGCCTAGATTATTCTCACACTTGAAGGCCACTTTTGCTGCAAACACTGACTCTTCACCTGGGCCTGCAGACATCAGATGAGTGACTGGAACAGGATGAGAAGGCTTGGTCTCTCTGTCTTCATACTGTGTCTGTTCCCTTTGCTGCCCTACCCTTTGGGTCAGCTTCTACTCAGCTCGACATATAGACACCTTGTTCATTGAGGAATACTTTGTCCAGAACTGTAGCACAGAGTTAGCTTGACCTAGACTTGCCTAGTCTCTCTCTCTCCCTTCTCCCTTCAAAGCTAAAGACACCTAGCTGTCATCAAGAATGGAAACACCAGACCACCACAGAAGTGAAAAGAGTTGGTACCCAAGTTCCTGGAAGATCTCCACCTATTCTCAGAAAAAAAGCACAAACATTCTTCCCCTTTATTTCCCTCTCTCCCTCATTCTTTCTATCCTACACCTGTAACCCTTTGATGCCCTGGAGTGGAGAAGATGGTTTTTGAGCAAATCTCTCTCTTCTCTACTCTTCCTTTCTCCCCAAACTCGTCTCTTAGACGTTGGCTTTTTCTAAGGGGTGAGCTTCCAGGTGTGAGTTCAGTAATAAGTACAAATTGATGTACTCTCAGAAAGGAAGATGGAGAAAGGAAGTTACCTTCATAGCCACTGGCCTAGAACTCACATTTCTAGAAATATTGTCCCTAGGAAATAATTACAAATGTGAACAGAGTAACGTTAAGAATGGCTGCTGAAGGGTATAAGCATACAAATTTGATACCATATAAACATCCAGTAACAGAACAGATTGATGAATTATGATACATCTATACAAGGGAATATTATAGACTATTTAAAATTTTATTATTCTGGGTTTTTTTTAGCAGCACTGGGGTTTGAACTCAGGGCCTCACACTTGCTAGGCAAGTGCTATACCACCTGAGCCACCCCACTAGCCCTTACAGACTTATTTAATATAGTTTTCTGAGTGACCTGCCTGTGTGACCTCCCAGCCAGAGCAGGAACTTCTAAGCTAATGTCTACCTAGGACCTACCTGGATGTGTAGGAAGACCTGAGTCTACATGTGCATTTATGTATGAAACAAGTATAAAAGTAATAATTACTGAAACCGTAAGAATCATTTTTAAGAATATTAATGAGTTTGGCATGGTGGCACATACCTGTAATCCCAGCACTTGGGAGGCTGAGGCAGTAGGATCAGGAGTTTGATGCCAGCCTGAGCCACATAACAAGACCCTGTCTCAAAAAAATACGAAATGGAAAGCAATATTAATTTTGCTCAGTGAAAAAAAAATAAAATTATTCCACAGCAGAATTCCCATTTCATTAAATTGATATTTATATGAATATTTATATTTACAAAGAAAAAGATATGAAGGACACCCACGGTAGTGATTACAGTGGTGATCTAAATGAGTGATTTTAGGGTTTTTTCACATTTGCATTTTTTTACATTTTTTCCAAATTTCTCCAGTAAGTCCCCGTTATTTCTTTCAAGTTGTAATAACATGTATATGACATAAGCGTTACCACTTTAGCCATTTTTCAGTGTACAATCTAGGGGCACTGAGTATACTGACAATGTTATTCCATCATCCATCACAGAACTTTCTCACCTTGCAGAGCTGAAACTGCACCCATTAAACACTAAGCCCCCATTCCTTTTTCCCCAGCCCTGACAATCACCACTCTACCTTCTGTGTTTCTGAGTGTGACTGCAGCACCTCACAGAAGTGGACTCGCACAGCATGTGTCCTTTTGTGACCAACTTATTTCACCTGAGGTCCGTCCAGGTGTGGCCTGTAAGAACTTCCTTCCTTGTTAGGGTTGAGTAATATTCCATGTGTGCCCATTCCACAGTTTGCTTATGTACTTATGCTTGGTGGAGATGGCTTCTTTCTACCGTTTGGCTATTGCAAATAGTGTTGTGATGCCTCTTATATTTTTATAATCAGAAAATGCATGTAAGAATAAAACCAAGCCACCTCTGCACACAGGAACACCCAGCCTCAGGTCATGACTGACTCTCCCTTGAACCAGACCCAGAAAATGTCTCCTACCTAGAACCAGGGCCTCCTCCTTCCCCCGGTGTTCCCTCTTGTCCTCCCCAGACAGGGAGTCGATGATGGTCTGGAGCAGGTTGCAGACGGCCAGAGACATCTCCTTGTCCTCCACGGCCATGAGGCTGCAGATTCTGTCTATTCGGACTGCGTGCAGAATCGCTGTGGCCTAGACCCCCAGCAGGAAGCACGGTCAGCCGCCCTGCCCCTCCCACTCACTGCCAGCAGGTGAGGGGTGGGTGCTAGCTGCCTACCCAACTCCACCCTGTAGGGAAAAGAGGACAGGCAGCCTCATGGGCCGGGGTCAGGGAAGCCTCTTTCTAGAGATCAGAATCACATCACCCAAAACAGCAGTCCCTTGCCACCTGGGGCTACTGAGCCCTTCTTGCCAGGTGGCAAGACCACATTGCCCCAGTACACACTGGGTTTCAAAGACTTAGCGTGACACATGTAAAACATCATGCCTTGCACTCAGCTCTTCCCCAAAACCACTTTCAACAAACTGACGTTGCTTAGTCAAACCCACTTCCAGCTCAAAGGGGAAAAAGGCCCACCACTCTGTTGAGTCAGAGACCATATGATCAAGGTTGGGGGCAGGAGAGCCCTTTAGGACCTGGATCAGGTTCTATCTGTGCCAGCCACAGCCCGGACCATGTGTCCTCCTCCAGATCTTCAGACTGGCAGTCATCCACATGCACCAAGCACACCCATTCCCGGGTCCCCAGACCCTCACCCTAGCTCGGTGGCCACTGCACATGCCCGACAGGGTCCGAATTGCAGCCAGCACCAGCTCAGGCCTCTTAGTGTCCAGAAGCTGCAGCAGCAGGGCCACTCCATTGTTCTGGAAGATTCTCTCAGCCCCTGCTTCCTCACGGCCTAGGACAATGAGATTGTTGGCAGCCTGAAGGAAGGAAGAGGCAATGAAGGTCATGAGAGAGCTGTGACTGCTGAGGCCTTGATCACAGGCCTCATGCGTGGACTAGTACATGTCTTTAGAGTACTGTTATGTTCTCTAGTCATACAATCCTACCCTGGGAACATAGCCCAAGAACATAATCCAAAAGAACTTAAGGCACCTTGCATAAAGACCAGCTTGATGAAACACATTGCAGCTACATGGAAAAAGCATGGATGACAGGAATCAGAATCCTCTCTATGTTCACTCTAATAATGTATTTTTTTTTTTTTGTAGGACTGGGGTTTGAACTCAGGGCTTCACGCTTGCAAAGCAGGAGCTCTACCCTCTTGAGTTACACCTCCAGTTCATTTTGCTGTGGTTGTTTTGAAGGGAAGGGAGATCTTGAGAACTATTTGCCCAGGCTGGCCTTGAACCACAATCCTCCAGATGTCAGCCTCCCAAGTTGCTGGGATTATAGGTGTGAGCCACCAGCTCCAAGCTTTAAAATTCTTTTTTAATGCGGCTTTAGCATGTTTTGTGTGCTTATTGAGCTGTTCAAGGGAATCTGAAGTTGTAGAGATTCTCAGGAAGGTGGAAGTTGGTGGGCAGAGACAGCATTAGATAGAATCTGAAATCTAGGGATTTGAGTTTCGATTCTGCTACCTACTTTCTGTGTGACATTGGTCAAGTCATAGCACCGCTCTGGGTTCTCTACTTTTCATCTGAAAAATTAGGCAGTTGAGTTTTATGGTTCCCAAGTCTTTTCGCACTCTGAAATCTTCTCAATTGAGGATACATAAACCTTTAGAAGGCCCTAGACCGGATGGGAGGCTGGAGGAGGACCTGAGAATCCAGGGCTGAGAGAAGAACAGACAAGGTGGGAGAGAGAGAGAGGTGGACAGAGACAGCAGAAGCCAGGCCCTGGGAAGAGGCTGAGACTTCAGGCAAGCATGACCAGACATCACTATTAGATTAGGGCTTCATACTTTTCAAAACAAAGTTATTTTATCTGCAACAACTCACTATGTCCTCACAAGAGTTTGTTGCAAAAGATATTTGTATGTCATGTAAATTAATTAACCACAAAATAACAACCCCTCAAGGCACTGTCTGTCAAGTCCCTACAAATGTAAAACACTTAAATGTTCCGTTTTTTTCCTAGGAGGACTAGAGGGAATGTGAAAAAAACAAACAGAAAAAAAAAACACAACAAAGGTGGTTAAAAAGACAATGGTATCAGTAAATATTTTAATATTTCAGAATGAGTTATTAATAATATTTCTAAATGAAATAAAGCATTATTTGAGGGCTGGCTCAAGTGGTAGAGTGCTTGCCTGGCACAGATGAGGCCATGAGTTCAATCCAAGGTGGAAAAAAAAGAAAAGAAAGCAAGCATTTATTTGAATGTGTCATTGTTTCTCAGGACCAAAATTACAATAAGGCAAATGAGGCATTTACCTTGAGTGCAAAATTTAAGGAGGTACTAAAAAACTCAATAACCCAGATAAAGAATACTTAATGCAATATTTTAAAAAGCCAAAATCAATACCAAAAAACATACAAGGAACAAAATTGAACATTTAATAAACATAGCATGCAAAAAGAAAAAAAAGAAAAGACGGCAGGCAGGCGACCCTACTGCATGACTCTCCACGCTGGATTCACCTTACTCCTGGTTCTTCTTGTGGTTCGTGCTGTTTTCTAATGGGATTAATTTGGGGCCAGTTTTCCTCCATCGTGAAGGACACGCGCCCCTCTCCCTCGTCCTCCACTGTCCGGAGGCCAGCAGCTGAAGCTGTGTGCAGAGAGCGCCCTCTGCTGGCACGCACGGCGCAGCACTCACCTTTTCTCGCTTATCAGCCTCACTGTTTTCATCCAAGAGGATCTCAAACATCTTCTGTACTCTCGAGTCTGTGGAGAACTGCACTCGGAGCTGAGGAAAGAGAAGACAGTCAGGAGGGAGGAAGGCTGGAAGCGGGGCATCATTTCTGTCTGTTCAACATTTCATCTCAGCAAATATCAGGTTATCTACTCTGGACTCCCGTACATTCATTCAACAAGCATTAACTGAATAGCAACTGTGTGCCAAAATGCATTCTAGATGCTGAGGATAGAATGGTGAGTCAAATCAAGTCCTTGCCCCACAAAGTTTCCAGTCTAGTTACATTCGTTATTCCATTTGGTCATCACGGGCTGGTGGAGTGGCTCAAGTAGTAGAGTGACTGCCTAGCAAGTGTGAGGCCCTGAGTTCAAACCCCAGTACCACCAAACAACAACAACAAAAAAGATTACCATTTGGTCATCACAACAGCCTTGGATGAAAAGAACGGATCATCAGTCCAATTTTAGAATCATAATCAGCTAGCGATTAGACATTTAAATAGGAACTAAAATAGAAATTTGTCTCCAGGATCATAAACTGGAGGCAGCTTTCATGTATCATTCTGAGCAACTTGAAGCCATTATGGCTGGGTGTCTAGACCCTCACACTACCCTAATCCAGGCCTCTGGATCTTTCATAACATGACCCAATGGCTCCTCTCCCCAGCTCCTCCTGGCCTCCTGTGCCTTAGTTCTGCAGCTCCACACTCCCGCCTGTGTCTGGACTCATTCCCTCTGGGCTGGGGAACTCGCCTCTTGTGCCTACCCCTTCCCTGATCTCTCCTTCATTTGCGTTTCCCCGGCTCAGAGTCTGCACCCTGCACCCTGGATGGTTTGCAGTGGTCCCCTGCAGGGTTGCACAGGAGTTACTGAGTCTAGAACAAGATGCTAAGTGAGCAGATTCCCCCACAAAATTCCAGGAGGAACCGGCACCCGAAGGGGTCCCTTGGGAAGTCGGTAGCTGAACCAGGGCAGTGCAGGACACTTCTCTCCTGATCCAAGCTCTCCTCCTCCCCTCTATCTTCCTGGAGAAGGTCACTTGTGCCCACAGGCTTTGACCCTCTGTCCTTCATCAGAACCCTCTTTCCCAGGTATCCCATGCTGCTTTCGTCCTACTAGAAAGGAGCTTAGTGTTGCAAACACACTATGTGATCTTGTTTTGTTGGTTTGGGGGCTTTTTTTTAAGCTTCCATCTGGAATTTAAAAGACCCATGTTCTAGCCCTGGCTAGCTTGTGCCCTCAGACGATGTCACAGCACCTTCCATCACTCACAGGTAGGTGCACCCGCCCAACTATTCTGTGCCTGCCCATGTCTCTTGCTGCCCATGTCTCTTGACTAGCTCTGTCCTGATGTCCCATTTCCCCAGCTGATCTCCTACTAGGGATACGGTGAGCACAGCCAAGGTTTGTATAGTGGTCTGCTTCACCTTCTCCTGGATGCTGGTGTTGAGCCTCCTCAGCATCTCCTGGAAGCTATGGTTCCATGGCTCCAGGGTGGCACAGCGCTGCACATCCTTAAAGGCTTGGTCCAACTTCCCCAAGTGCTCAAGTGCCTGGCATCGCCGATACAGAGCCTTGATGTCTCTGGAGTCAATGTCGATGGCTAGAGAGGGGAGAACGGACAGATCTGCAGGGCGGCAGGTACCGGGCTGCAGACTGCCTCTCCCCACTCCACTGCCGCAACTGCAGGAATTGTGTCTTCATGTCTACCTTAGAGATCACCCCCTACATAACTCTCTGGCCCATACCATCCCTTTGCCAATGGCTCATACAGTTGGTGCTTGCATACTCCCATGGACTGGAATCTCCCTGCTCCTCCAGGCAGCCAGGCAGCCAGCAGCTCCAGCACAAAAACTCTCCTCTTCCTACCCAAAATACACTCCTTGTAACTTGGTCCTTCCTTCCTCTGACCAGCCCTGGAACCCCTGAGATGAAATCTAATCTGTCCTTGTGACAGCATTTTGGGCATTTGAAGGCCACTCTCTGTCCCACCTGGGTGTCACCTTCCTTGAGCTAAATACTGCTGATTCTCTCAACTTCTTCTTACAGGACATTTCCAGTCTCTTCTCCAGCTGGTTCTGCCTTTCTGAATCCACTCCAAACTAGCACTGTTTCTCAAAAAAATGGGAACCCCAATCAAAACCCCACATAGACCATGCTGGGAGAGGATAAAAGGGCTCACCTCTGGAGGCATCCGAAGCGGCCTGAGCGTAGCTCTCCTGAAAAATGAGGAAGGAGAGGGAGACTTAGTTAATAGGGGTGCAGTGCAGAGGTAACCAGAGTCCTCTAAGAGAGAGGAGAGCTTCAGCCAGGGAGCCGTGGGCTATCCAAAGCCCAGGATGTGCCCCTCAGTGGGCATGGAAAAGTGGACAGGCTTTGGATTCAGCCAAACCAGGTTTGAATCCCAACTCTGCTGCCACTGGGAGAGCTTTGGTGAGCTAATTAAGCTTGGGTTTGCTCAGGCTGGCAACAGTGTATCCCTCACAGGGCTGTTCTTAAGATGCTATGAAATAACTGAACACCACCCGCATTGGGCCGACTCTGATCTAGAGGAATTTCTGTCTCTCCAGAGCAGTGGGTCAGGAAATAGGAGACACCTGCTGCAACCCAAGAGGTCCAAGCTAGATGATGGTCTGTCCCTAGCAGGAGCGCAGGACAAGAGCTGCCTCCATAATAGCCCTGACTCCAGCCTGACAGTCCCCTCTGCCTTCCAGCCCTGCCTGTCCCACCCCAGACCATTTTCAGGCCACAGGCTGCCCGGTTCCGATAGAGAGTGGCCAGCAGAGCCTTGTCCTTGGTCAGCTTCAGGGCCTGGCTGTAGCTTTTCATCGCTGCCTTGTAGTCCTGGAGCTGGAAATGCCGGTTGCCTTCCTCCTTCAGCTGCGCTGCTTCTACCTCTGTCATCTGTGGGGACAGGGGTAGCCCCAGCTGGTCAGCCTGGGGCTCCAGACCTAGGGTAAGGCTCCCGGCCTGAAGTCCAGAGTTTCAGGCCTCCCTCTGCAGGATGGAGGGTGGGGATTCTGCCTGGGGATACATCCCCAGCACCCCTAAACCCATTGCCCCTGAAGTACATAATAACATTTCCTGAGTTGGCCCCAGTTGAGAGGGATGTCCAAATCCTTTTGTGTCTCTTTGTCCCTCCCAATCTGGCTGGGTGAAGCCACCATGCCAGGATATCTGAGCTCTCACAAGGCCTGAAAGTCCTCAGTGCCTTCTCCCTGCCCAGTCTCCTGACTCACCATCTCAGCAGGGCTACCTCCTCCTCCCGGGATGGGACACTGCTACTGTGCTCTCCTCTATTTCAGCCAGCAGCCTCAGTCTGCCCTTCCCAGCCCCCACCCAGGAGACTTTATCACCCCAGCCAGTGGCTCCAAACCATATTTGGCCACAGAGGCAGGTGCCCCTGGAGTCTGTCATTGATACTCAGGGCCCTCCCCCTCTCTGGACTGGATAGTCATAACCACGTGCAGGTGCTATCTTCTGTCCCTTGAACACCCCGCTCAGGGACAGTTCTTTGGAGCTCATACCCCAAAGAGTAAGAAAAAGGTCCAGAAGAGATAGGAGATGCCCCCAAGATATCCTACCCCCTTCCTAGGCACAGCCATAATGTCCCTTCTCCACCTCCATCCCAGATAAACAACCCCCCCTACATACACACACACACACACACACACACACACACACACACACACACACACACGGTGCTATTTTGGTAACAGAGTGACAGCTGAGGGGCTGATAGACTTGGACACATAGCAGCTGCCAGGTCCCCAAGCAACTGGAGACTTCCAGAAATGCCTTTCTGCAGGTGGGGGGGCAGGGGGCAGAGCAGTGGAAAGTGTCTCCCTGTCTTCTACTTCCTCAACCTCTTCCTGCAGTCCTTTGTGGAACATGTCCTTACTTTTTACAAAGACAACAGGATTTGCTAACTCCCTGTACCGTGAGTGGGTTATTGTTTGGGTATGCATGTTGTCCCTGTTCCTGTCCCTCTGTGTCTGGTGAATATACTCAATTCACCTCCCTCAGCAGATGGGGAGCTCCCTGGAGGTGGGCTGTTTCTCCCCCATAAGGCTGAAATCTCATAGGGCAAGGGCAGGTCAGATTGAGAATTTCCTAAACCCAAGAACTGTAATCTGGGAACTCTCCTAGGATGAACGGAGGTTTTCTTATCAGAAGGGAGTTTTCCTGGGCAAGAGCTGTCATCCCAAGGGACAGGTACCCTTTCTCTTCAGCCAACGGAGGGATACTGAGGTGAATTTATGAGGTTGTTCCCACTTGAACTCTGAACTTCTGCCTTTCAGTGTCTCTGAGCCTGAGCCATGAGCTCTGTCTTGGAGGGGAGGGCAAGGACAGCAGTTCAGGCAGCTTCTTCACCCTTCCTACCCTCCTACCCCATTCCAAGGAAAGACCCTGGCCCAGGGTGTGTTTTCTGAATAAATGAATGAATGAACAAACGAATGGCATCCTCATGCCAGTTCTTTGCCCCACTCATCTCTATTCCCCTCCACTTCCCATGTATTTTCAAACTTCCCTGAAAGTCACTGAAGAAAAAGCATAGGTTTCTTTCTGCTTCTAGCTCTGTGACCTAGGACACTTGGATATGCAGTTATGTGACCTTGGACAGGTTCTACTGCCCTGCTAAACATGAAGCCCTAACCCATGGGGAGTTGTTTTGGTTGCTGTTTGTTTGCTTGCTTTGTTTTTGAGATGAGAGTCTCACTATGTTTCCTGGGCTGGATTTGAACTGCTGGGCTCAAGAGACCATCTTACCTCAGTCTTCTGAGTAGCCAGGACCACAGATGTGTGCTACCACGCTTGGTTTAACACGTTTGATAAATGAACAAATGGATGGTTGGATGAATCCCCTCCCCGCATGGTATGCCAATCCATGGGGCCCATTCGTGGGGTAAGTACTGAGGTGATATGATACAGGGGCTCACCATTAGCAGAGAAATGTGGTTTCTTGAGTTTTGATTCAACTGATCCTAGACTCAAATGCTGGTTCAGTAATTCATTCCACAAGCATTTCTTATATGCTTCCTCTGTGCTAGGCACCCTGACCTATAATGGAAGCAGAGAACTCCAGGGCAAGGATTTGGGTCTACCATATTCACTTATGTGTATTCCAAGTGTCTGTAAGAGTGCAATGCGGAGTGATGCTTAGTACTGTGTGCCAGAATGAAATAATTCCATGGATCTGTGATTTCTAAATGTGAGGAACAGGGAAATGTGACACTGTTCCAGTCACAAATGAGTTAATATACATAGAGCTCCTAGAGTGATGTCTAGCAGAGAGTAAGTGCTCAATACATTTGTTGGGAGGATGAATGACTATTTAAGGCAAGACATGAAGAATGAGGAACTGTTCGTATAGTAGTCTACTCAGACTGTCATGGCAGAATTCCACAGGTTGTGGGGCTTAAACGACAGACATGTGGTGTTTCCTCACAGCTCTGGAGGTGAGAAGTCCAAGATCAAGGTGCTATCAGGACTGGTTTCTGGAGAGGCCTCTCTCCTCTGTTTGCAGCCATCTACTGGTGCACATGGTCTTCCCTCTGTGTGTGCTCAGAACCAGGGTAGAGGTGGGGAAAGACAGTCCGGGGGCTGGGAGGAGGAGGAAGGAAGGGAGAGGGAGAGAGAGAGACAGGTAGACAGAGAAATGCATAGGGTATGTGTTCTGGAGTCTCTTCCTCTATTTTTTTTTTTTGTGGTACTGAAGGTTGAACTTGGGGTTCTGTGCTTGCCTACCACTTGAGACGCATTCCAGCCCTTTTTTGCTCTTTGGTTATTTTTAGGATGGGGAGGAGGTCTCACATTTTTGCCTGGGGCCAAGACTTCAAACCAAGATTCTTTGGATCTCTGCCTCCCAAATAGCTTGGATTACAGGTGTGTACTGCCCTATCCAGCTCCTTTACTACCGCCTCCTAGGGTTTATATTCTTTGCTTAGTCCATAACAGTTCCAAACACAGAAAACTGCATGTGCAAAAGCATGGGTACAGGAAGGACAGTGCCTTGGATGAGCTCAGAAAAAGTAGAAGGATTTGATGTTAAAGAGAGGTGGTAGTTAGAGGCAGCAAGACTGATGGGCCATAATATAGAGTTTGGTTTGTTCCTGCACATAAGGGCCATTGCACGGCTTTAGAATGAAGAGTAACAGAGCAGATTTTTGGTTTGAAAAGATTATCCTAAGCCTGGCACAGTGGTACATGTCTTCAGTCCCCACTCTGCAGGGACTGACACAGAAGGCTAATTTGAGCCCGGAAGTTAAGGGCCAGCTCTGGCCACATAGCCAGAACCTGTCTCAAAAAAAAAAAAAAATCTTCCATTAATTCCCTAAGATGATGAATACAAAGGAAAGAGGGGGCACCCTGTGCATGTTCTCTAGGCCTTTTAGAAACCATGGGAGTTGTTCCTTTGGCCACATATGTGCAAATCTATGCAAATGATGCTATTGCAAACATCAAGGGAATGAGTATTGTTCAAAAGGGAATGCCCCTCAGATGTTACCATGGCAAAACTGGAAGAGTCCACACTGTCACCCAGCATGCTGTTGACACTGCTGTGAACAGGCAAGTTCAGACCAAGATTCTTGCCAAGAGACTTTGTGATGTGATATGCGTACCCAGCATATTAAGCACTCTAAGAGCCAACATATGCCGCAGGCCAGCTGCAGTGGGGGCTCCAACTCTGGTCTTGGGGGCTCGAGCGGTGAATGACAACACGAACTCAGGATTGTGCAGGGCAGCAATGGCGCAGTTTATTTTCTGAAGAGAGTATTTAAGCAGTGCAGAAAAGCAGGGAGGAATATGTGGTAGTCCCCAGGTTTCCCTTGACCTCTGTACTGGGATTGGCTGTCACGTTGCTATGGCTACAAGTGCAGAACATCATGTTCTCAAGATGGGTCTTCCTGGTCCCATGCAGAGAGAGAGAACAGGGTTGCTCAGCAACTGTCCTCTTGGACTGTTGCAATCTCTCTTAGGGCTGTTGCACAAAAGCTACAGTGACTCCACTCCTTTCCAAGAGGCTTTGGGGGGGGGTCATGAAAGTTTCCTACATCTCCCCCTTTTTTATTTTTTATGAAAAAGGCATTTAGAAACTTTTCTTTTTTTGCAGCAGTTAGTTTCTCAAGGGATTATTCTTATTAGCCATATGATACAAAGTAAACACAAAAGCATGAGTCCACCCATCCTTATTAGTCCCTTAAGTCCAAAACTAAACCAATGACTAGGATTAAGTTTCTCTAGCCAACTCTGCATAGAGTCCAGGGAGATAATAGAGAGATGGACAGCTTGCAGGTCAAGAATATCTTTAGTCAGGCCTGGATGTGTATGGTTGAATTTTGAGTCCAAACTCCCTGAATATAATGTTGTATCCAAGTCCAGTTGTGGTAAGTGCCATTCCATTGAGCAGCAGTAACACAGATGTGATGATATGGGAATCACAGGTAGGCTGTATGTATTGGACTACTCCAGCAAGGGTTTCTTCCATAAGGTTCAATTCTTCTTGTAGTTTGAGGATCCTTTGTTGAAGGTTCTTGATAAGGTCATTTTGAGAATGCAATATGCTAGAGATGTTTTTGGTGAGAGTATTTACATAATGAGCTGTTTGAATTTGATGGGTTAATGCCACCAGATCGATGGTTGTGCTGGCTATGAGAGTTATAAGAGAGACAATTCCAAAGATGAGAGCACCTAAAAATCTCTCGGGGTGATGAATCTGTTCCAGGGCTACATGTAGTAATGCCAACCCATTGTCACCAGTCCAAGTATGGTTTAAGGTAACTGGTAACCAAAGGGAGGATGGTGCACAATTTAAAAAGGAGAGGTAACTGAGGAATCAAAGCAAGTGCGTAAGGTACAGTTTTTATATTGTATATGTCCTAACATCTGGTTTGCAGTAACAGAAAAGTTTAAATTACCAATAAGATAGGCATGAGGAGGTCTGACACAACTGGCAGAAAAGTTGAGTGAATGATTAGAATTAGAGGAATCCCAAGAGAATGCTAGATTATTAGGAAAAACAGTGACATTGCAAGAGGAAAGTTTATAAGGTTTCAAAGAACCAAGGAGTGTATCTAAGGTGGTGTACACTTGAGATTGATATTGAGTAACGGAGTGGCAGAGGGTGGGGCCTTGCCACATTTTGGGTCTAGATCCCCAGTTAATATTAGAGAACTGTTGAGAGTAAACTAATTCAGAGGGATTGGACTCATTCCAAGTAGGGAGAAAGGTCCAAGACATAAAAGGCACCCGAGGATGTATAGGTGCAGGGTAAAGTCCTATGCAAGTCATCCAAGGCACATGATCATAACCAAGACCTTGTGCATAAGTCTGTACCTTAGGGCAGTGGGGAGAAATTAGCAATTAGCACCAGTACAATTGTTAACAGGGACAACTATGGAGAGTAGGAGCCCTACTCCAGTAGAATTGTCCCAAGTATCTATAATTAAGTTGAGCCTGCAGACAAGGTATGGGGCAGGTCATGTTAACACCTCTAGGGGGACAGAAGCACATAGGGTGTCCTACAAAGGAACCATCATACTGAGATAATTATAGCTGTTCAGAGATGTTATACCCATCAGGCAAAGGTCCGCCTCCTAAGGCGTGAGAAGCATTATTCCAAAATACAGGCAATGGTTCTCCCCAAACTTTGGTACAAAGGATTGGAGGATGAGGCACAAATGACCAGTGTGTGTAATTTTCCTCTGCTTTGGCCCCCTGGGAATTAATGGTAAGGACAGCCAACAGACAGACAAGAAGTAACTCAGGTCAAGTGATATCCTGCCCATTAGTAGCACTCCAATTTTGGGCCTGCTGAACCAAAGCTTTAAGGGCTCCCCAGGTCACTGCTGGGGGGGTTCTCCTTCTTTTTTGGGGGGCGGTGATTAGGTCATGGTTGATCGTCCAGCCGAAAGTCTCTTCATGGGTCCCATCAATGGC